AAAAAAAAAAAAAGAAAAGAAAAAGAAAAAACAGGTAACCACAAAGGAGGGCTGCTCTGGAGGTGAGAGCAGGGCCCCCAATCAGAATGGGGCAGGTAGGAGCAGGGTGCAGCAGGTCCCAGGCTTCGAGGGTGCAAGAACAAGGGGTGGCACCTAATGATGAGGGATAAACTTGGCCAGTGGGGGTCAGAGTCCCATGTCTCAAAGGCCATCATCTGTGACACTCCCTCCACGCAGGGGCACTAGACCAAAGCTTCACTCAGGCTTGCTCACTGACTGCTCACAGGTATTTAATGAGGGGGGAAGGCTCTATTGCTGTTACTGTGTGCACAGATGGGGAAACTGAGTCTCAGAGAGGTAAAGCCACTGCTCCCACGGCCCAAGCAAATAAATACTCCTCAGAGCAAAGGTGAAGGCACAGCATGCCCAGGTGTGAGCCCTTCAGCACTGGCTTGGTGACAGCCCTGAGTGAGGTTGTGGGTTGCAGAAATGGGAGCAGCAGGAACAGGGCCTGGGGTCAGGCGTCAGCCTCGAAGCATGGCAACTAGCTCCCACCACAAAATCACAACTCACCCTGCATGGTGCTCAACAGGAGTTTTGTAACTGCAAGGCTAACCCCACTATACAGAGGAGGAAACCTCTTCTCTGAGAGAGACGAAGGTACCTGCCAAGGTCCCCATCCAAGAGGTCAGAGCCAGAATTAATTCAATTCTAGGTCCTTGTGATCACTCCATGCCTCCCACCTGGTTTCCAAGAAAACAGAGACCCAGGACAGATAAGGGTGGGGGCTAATAATAGCAAGCAGTAGAAATCTTCCAACTGTATGGGCAGAATTTCCTCCGACTTTTTGTCTTTTTTTTTTTTTTTTGAGACAGAGTCTCTGTCACCCAAACTCGAGTGCAGTGGTGTGATCTCAGCTTCCGGGGTTCAAGAGGTTCTCCTGCCTCCACCTCTACCTCCACCTCCACTTCCACTTCCCAAATAGCTGAGACTACAGGCTTGCACCACCACATCTGGCTAACTTTTTTTTGTACTTTTAGTAGAGACCAGGTTTTGCCATGCTGGCCAGGCTGGTCTCGAACTCCTGACCTCAGGTGATCCACCCACCTTGGCCTCCCAAAGTGCTGGGATTACAAGTGTGAGCCACCGTGCCTGGCCCCAACTTTCTTCTCCAAATTTTTCTGGTAGTTCTGGTACATATTACCACTTGTCTCCTGGACAACCAAGGCTCCTGTCCAAATGCAGAGACTGGGCTCATCTCGGCATCCTTCTCTAAACAGAGGCCCTCGTGGTTGTTTTCACACCGCGGCCTTATTTCTCGGCTAGTGAAAATGCTCCTACTTCCTACAAAGACAGCCTGTTTCTTCAGCTTCTCTGTGCAGTATGGTAACATCCATGTGAAATAATTAATTCCTTCAAGGCTGGACACAGACACCAGGCAGTCTCACAGCATATTCTGGAATGTTCTGACATGTCTGTGCTGAGAGGCTGACCAGTATGGACTATAGTAAGGCCTCTCCAGCACGGGCTTGTGTGACAATCACCTGGCACCTCGTTAAAACAGTCTTTGGGCCCATCCCCCAAGATTATGACCCAGCAGGCCTGGGGCAGACTGAGAACTGCACTGCTGCTGCTTTTTTAGACGGAGTTTCACTCTTGTTGTCCAGGCTAGAATGCAATGGTGTGATTTCGGCTCACTGCAGCCTCCGCCTCCTGGGTTCAACTGATTCTCTTGCCTCAGCCTCCCGAGTAGCTGGGATTACAGGCGTTGAGCCACCGCGCCCAAACCTAATTTTGTATTTTTAGTAGAGATGAGGTTTCTCCATGTTGGTCAGGCTGGTTTCGAACTCCTGACCTCAGGTGATCCGCCTGCCTGGCCCGAGAATTGCGCTTCTGAGTGCCCAGGGGGTGGCAGGCTGGGCACCTACGCACTGATAGCCTGAACCGTCTCAATGGGCCTCTCACCATCTCCTGCATTGGCTTGATCCAGGCACAAGAATGATAAATGCCCCTCTCCCTTCCTGAGAGAATGCCTGGGGCTCACCACCTCTCTTGACTGGTGGTCCCCACTCCTCTCAAGGTGGTCCTCTCTCTACTCCTCCCTCCCTCCAGGATCTGATCACCTTCCTGTCCCTGGATGCACACCCCTTTGCAATGTGACTGCACCATCTCCCATCCAGAGGTGGAGTCTATTTCTTCATCCCCTCACCCTGGCCAACTGGATTGAAGCAGAGGCTTGAGAAGTACTTATCTGCTGAGCTTTGGAACCTTAAAACCACCAAGCCCAGCCTGGCCTACTGAAAGATGAGACCATGTGGAGCAGAGATGGGCTGGCCCAGCCCAGGTCCCTGGTCTGCCAACCATCAGAATGTGAGACCATCCTTGATCACCCAGCCCCAGCCCAGCCAGCCCAAAGGAAAACCACCCAACTGACCCACGGAACAGGGAAAAACAATCCAACTTGATAAGCCACTAGGGGCTCGCTGGGTGCCAAGCCTCTGTCCTAAGAGCTTTCACATATTAACTCCTTAATCCTCACAATGGTGCTGGAATATAAAATCCATCCTGGGGCCGAGCATGGTGGCTCATGCCTGTAATCCCAGCACTTTGGGAGGCTGAGGCAGGCATATCAAGAGGTCAGGAGATAGAGACCATCCTGGCTAACATGGTAAAACCCCATCTCTACTAAAAATACAAAAAATTAGCTGGACATGGTGGCACGTACCTGTAGTTCCAGCTACTCAGGAGGCTGAGGCAAGACAATCACTTGAACGTGGGAGGCGGAGGTTGCAATGAACTGAGATCGTGCCACTGCACGCTAGCCTGGGTGACAGAGCAAGACTCCATCTCAAAAATAAAGTAAAATAAAATTTATCCTGAACTGCAGTTGACAGATAAGGAAGCAGAGGCACAGATCGGTGACATATTCTCCCAGAACACACAGCTAGTAAGAGGCAGAGTTCAGCTTTGAATCCCAGGGCCACACTCTTACCTACTGTGTCGCACTATCAAAGCCCCCACCCCCAGCCAGCCTGCTAATCCCCTTCCATCTGCTCTCCACAGGCAGTGGGCAGCCAAGGACTGGATAGGGGCAGGGCCCAGTAGCAATGAGACCAAAAGGGCACAGACACAGAACTACGTTCTCAGAGCTGAAGAGGCTTGAGAATCACCTAGTCCACATCGCAGGCCTCACAAATGAGGAAACAGAGACCCAGAGAAGTCTGCCTCTGTCAACGGGTCACTTCCTGGCCAATTCAGAATGAGGCCCCAGGTCTCCCAACCTCCAGGACTCCTACACCACCACCCTCTAGCCATCTCTTTAGCTTTAACATCTTAAAATTTTAAAATATTTTATTTATTTATTTAAAGACAGAGTCTTGCTATGTTGCCCAGGCTGGCCTTGAACTCTGCAGCTTAAAAGATCCTCCTGCCCTCAGCCTCCCAAGTAGGTGGGACTATAGGCACGCACCACTGCACCTGGCTTTGTCTTGACCTTTTGCTACAGAACACTGAACCCCAGGAAACCCAATGCCCCAGGGACATAAAATACCCACCTTTGGTGTGAGATGCGCCATCCCCAGGGAATACATAGGCATCCTCCAGTTTGGTAATATCAAACAGACAAATGCAGAGTCCCACGTTGTACACGACCTGCATGCATACAAACATACACAGACACACATGTACACACAGACAGAGTGACCACAGGCTCAGCTCCCAGGCAGTCTGAGCCCCTTGCAACCACAAGCAAGCTATGATTATCTCTTTTTTTTTTTAGATGAAAATGAGTCTGTGGAGAGAACCAGGATAAGAAACCTCAGAAGGATGCAGAGCTCTGGAAGGAGCAGGGCCTCGGTGACAAAACAGGTCCAGGTTCCAAGGCCAGCTCCACCATCCACTGTGTGACTGCCAAGGGGGGTCACTTCACCACTCTGAGCCTCAGTCTCCCCATTTGCAAATGTGAAATATCAGGCTGCAGGGTTATAAAATAAAGAGAGATAACAGATGTGAAGCCCCTAGCCTACTGCCTGGCTCACGTGCTGGAAACCATCATCAAGGGTCTTTGCTATTACTAGTGAGGACCAGTGACAGGAATGCTGGCTAAACGTGCACTCTCCAACATCCCAAAGCCAATGCCAGAACTCAGTTTTGTGAGCACCAGAACCACAGCTAAACCCCACTGTGCTCACAACATCTCAGACACACAGCCACAGCCACAGGGACTGCAGCTGGCAGAGGGACACATGACCTAGGCCCTGAGAATGGGCAAAAATCCCACAGCCCATCCCCACACCATGGTGATCCAAAGACTAGCTACTCAGTGTCTGCTTACCTGCCACCCATGTCATCACCCCCACTTAGAACCCTTGCAGGAACTGTCCAAAAATTAGCAAGCTCAGAGAGTACAGAGTTGTGGCCAGACCTAACTGAGACTGAAGAGGGAAATTAAATAATAAAAATAGTCTGTAACTGCTGCATAATAAAGTTTACTGTGTTGTGTTCAACATAAAACCTAACTCCCAGCTCTGCTTAAAATTAACTAACTCCCTATAAAACCTACCTTATCTATTCTCCCCACATTCTCAGCAAAGTTCCCAGGCATCTCAAGACTATTCTTCTTGCTGACCGGCTGCAAGGTCACAGGACAAGAAAACACCGAAAGAATGTCCAATGCGTTTCTCAAAATGCTGTTTTTCAAATGTAACATACATCACAAGACATGTAACAAAGAAATTAACTGTTCTTTGTTCTGGCTTCTGTAAATCTGTTAGCTGCTACCTCATCCTGAATGAACAAAAAGTATCCCATTTTCAGTAATCCCAGCACTCTGGGAGGCTGAGGCAGGCGGATCACCTGAGGTCGGGAGTTCAAGACCAGCCTGACCAACATGGAGAAACCCTGTTTTAAAAAAAAAAAAAAAAAAAAAATCCCATTTTCTGTATCCATTGGCTGTGAATCCACTGAGCTGGTACACCTAAATAAAATCCTCCTGTTTCACCCATTGGTCTCTCTGGTCTCCTGACATATGCAACATAATTTGGTGAGCCAGCCAGGAGCAGAGACCATATGCCTGAGGGTATGGGGCCCCAATCCAGGGGAAACTCATGACCTCAGGTGTGCCATCGGGTCAACTTGTGCCCAAGGAAGCAGCTCTCCCACGACCCAGTGCCCCTCCATGACAGCACAACTAAACCTAAGGGGTTACAGAATGATCTCCAAGACCAATATACTTCAGGAATTATGGTAAGGCATTTGGAGAAAAGATAAGAGCCTGCCCAAGAGGGTGGAAAGCAGAGTCTGATCAAGTCCTGGGAAGTGACTATTAATCCTGCCCAGAAAGACTGGGGGAGGCAAGAGTGAATTGCTGATTTGGATGAAACTCACATTCCTACAGGCAAGTGAAGCTGGTTTTTAAAGGGAAAGCACAAGATATATGGAAAGGGGGGAGGTGTGTGAAAGTGGGTGAAAGAGACGCCTCTGGGAGGAGCTGATGCAGGGAGTGCTACATATGTGAGCCACAAGTCCCTTGGCATGGACTGTACGCTTTGAGTGAAGTGTGGGGCCAGCCAAAGCCAGGGGTGATTTTGCACACGGCTTAAGGAGGTGCCCCACAATCTAGGTACTGGAACTCTCCAATGCCAAGCAGCGCCTGAAATACCCACTCCTACTCTGATGGGGGACAGCTTAACCAGTCCAAAGTGAAGGAGTCACAAAAGGAGGAGATGGGAGGAAAGGTGTTGAAAGTAACACCATTGAAATGCATGTTAAGAAATTTTAGGCCGGGTGCGGTGGCTCACGCCTGTAATCCCAGCACTTTGGGAGGCCGAGGCGGGTGGATCACGAGGTCAAGAGATCGAGACCATCCTGGTCAACATGGTGAAACCCCGTCTCTAC